TGCGGCGCATCGATGCGCCGCCGAACGCAATCTCCTCCCCTTCCACTCATCCGCTGCGCCAACGGCGCCTTCAGCACCAGCAGTTCGTTGGCCTTCTTTGTTTGCGGCCGGGCCGAGGCGGACGACGCGAAGCGTTTAAAATTCGGGTCCCTTGTTTTGGGTCCTTTTATAAGGGTGCCGTACTATATTTGGGACCCAAGAAGGGGCCCCAATTTAGAGAACTACCCAAGTACACTACTGTTCTACCCAGATGGTGCTTTGGGAAGAGAGGGCCGAAGCGTTTTTGCAGTCAAGAGGACCGATTTGAAGCCAATGCCCTTGGCACCGATGTACTTCCTGAGAGGGCAGGCTTTCAGGTTTATGGTGCAGGGCTTAACCCTAAACCCCCGAAACCCAAAACCCCAAAACCCCAAACCCCTAAACCCTAAACCCTAAACCCTAAGCTCTAAACCCTAAATCCTAGACCCTACACTCTAAGCCCAAAACCCTAAACCCCCCAAACCCTAAACCTCTAAACCCCAATACCCAAAATCCTGGGGTTTTGGGGGTTGCAGGATTTACGGTTGAGCAAGGGCTCGAGCATGATGGGTTCAGGTTTGCAGTTTAAGGTTTAGGGTTCAGGGTTCGGGGTTTAGGGTTTCGGGTGGGGTCCAGGGTTAAGGGTTTCGGGTTGAGGGTTTGAGGGGGTTAGGAAACAAATGCCTTATTGGGCAAGTCGTGAAGCATAGGAAGGTTTGGGGATTGCGCCTCATTGTTTGGGGTCCCTACTTGTCCCATCTTCAGATGGGAACCGAAGCTTACTTCCTCAATAAACCAGGGAAGTGAAAGGTTAACACCTCAGATTCGAGTAAGTTATACGAACCCCAAAAGTTCAAAGGTTGAGTGTTGGAAAACTAAGCAAGACAGATCGGAGGTTACCTGTTGGGAATTCGACCGCTAGGGTGATACTATGACGTACGACCTGCTGAAAACGATGAACCTTCGGTCTGGAACAGTTTAGGGTTTGGGGTTTTGGGTTTAGGGCTTAGGGCTGCCATGCGCTCCCGACTGTACATTGCAACAAGCGGAGCAACTCTCTGGCTGGCGCGTCGGCGGCGCAGCTACAAGGTGCGATTTGAAATCCCCGTTCTGTTGAAGCATCTGCTTTTTCCCAAGAGGTCCCTGCACTGTTGGGCGGCGGTGTGGTGTGGTGTGGTGTGGTGTGGTGTGGTTAGTGGTTAGTGGTTAGTGGTTAGTGGTTAGTGGTTAGTGGTTAGTGGTTAGTGGTTAGTGGTTAGTGGTTAGTGGTTAGTGGTTAGTGGTTAGTGTTTAGGGTTTAGGGTTTAGGGTTTGGGGGTTTGGGGGTTTGGGGATTTCGGGTTTAGGATTTGGGGCTTAGGGTGTGCATTCTGTCGCTTGGTCCACTTACAAGAAACTACATCTGATGTAAGTAAATTCACAGAACCCCTGGTTTAGAACAGCCCCGATGGCTCTAGAAATGCAAAGTTACCTGAGTGATCCAGCCCTTGCGAGGCAGATGCAGTGGAAGGTCTAGCAGCATTCCACTGTTAATTGCCGGCGTCTCCGTAGCTGGTGGTCATTCTCAAGGTACTGTCGTCGTTCCACCGACCCTCACCACAATCAAAGTCAATGACGCCTTTGCATTCTACCACCATGTAACCACAAGCATCGCGACTACCACCAGTCAGTATTAGCACGACATCGTCATCGCCATCGCCACCTCGTCGCAGCTGCCACAACGGCAGTAATATGGGTAGTTCTCTAAATTAGGTCCCTAATTTTGGGGTCCTTTTTATAAGGGTGCCGTGCTATATTGGGACCGAAACAGGGACCCCAATTTAGAGAACTACCCTTCTGGTACCCTTATAGCAAGATAGATCCCCTTAACGAAACCCTAAATGGGGACTTTAATTTAGAGAACTACCCATATGTAGCCTTGCTACTCTCGCCCAAATCTGGAACACTCAATCGAAACCCTGAACCCTAAGCTCTAAATCCAGCAACCAGTAAACTGAATATCAGTAGTATTCTACTATTGTTGTTCCATTTTTGTTATTATGTTATTATGTTTTTTTATGTTATGATAATTCCTATGATTGTCACATGATGACTGGTATTATTATTATTGTGTTATATCTATCTGTTATTCTTCGTCTTATTGTTATCTGGAAACTCAAAGCCTTTTAGCCGAACGTCCGCTCTTCGCTGGTCTTCGTGGACTGGGCAATGTCGCAGAGCGCCCGGACGTTTGACTCCTGCGCAGACCCAGGCTACAGGCAGGTTTAGGGTTTAGGGTTTAGGGTTTAGGGTTTAGGGTTTAGGGTTCTAAGGCCTCTGTATTACTTACCTTACTGCCCCAAGAAGCCCAAGGAAATAAAAAGTTAAACTTTCAGAGTACTGCTAAATTATAAGAACCCAAAACGTTTGAAGGTTGGGTATTGGAGAACTAGGGTTCTGGGGCTCGTGCACAAGGCTTTGTAGCTTTTCTTTTCCCCGAACCTTTGCAACTTTTGCTTTTGGCTGGCAACGGTCGGGGCTTGCTGGGTTTAGGGCGTTCGGGCTGGGTTTAAGGCTGGTTTGGGGCTCTGCAACTCGCGAGAAACTTCAATCGGGGCCGTCGTGGAAAGCCTAAACCCTGAACCATAAACCATGAACGCCCCCAACCCTAGACCCCAAAACACCCTACTGGTAGCCTAAACCGTAAACTCCAACTGAATTTTGGACTGCCAGACCTTGCACTCTGAACATTCAGTACATGGCTCGATTATCCAGGGGTCTTCATAACTAGAATAGGATCTGCATGGTAACAACAGTACTATGTAGTAATTATACTTAAAAAAGGAACCTTAATAATTAGAATAGGGCTTTGGGGCCCATAATACTATATTTATAATAAGGAACCCCCAAAAAAGGGTTGGTAAGTATTTCGACTCCTATATTTATAGTAAAGAACTTATACAAAGAAATCACAATAAGGAACCCTAAACAGGTCCCAAATACTATAGGGACCTTATAATTAGAAAAGAGGTTTTGGGCCCCTTTTTCGTATCCTTATAATAAGGAAACCCTAAGGAATCACATTATTATTCCGATGGTGCAAAGTCCGTCGCGAACGTACCACTATAAGGAATCACATTGGTAATTGTTTAAACCTAAACCCCTAAACCCACACAGAAGTGGGACCCGAACCCGACGCGGACACGAGAACAAGATAAGACCAAACCGCCAGTCCCACTCTCAAACTCCGAAACAAGTCCTTCAGCCACGTTAGCTTTAGGTTTAGGGTTTAGGGTTTAGGGTCTAGTTTTTAGGGCAACATACCATATGTTTTACCAAAGTGCGAATCTTAGTTTGCAATTTCCTTAGGCATCCCGAGAAAGGCCCAATCCGAGGAAGGCTCCTCAACCCCAATCCAACCAACTTATCCGAGCTCTATTAGGGTTTAGGGTTCAGGGTTTGGGGTTTAGGGTTTAGGGTTTAGGGTTTGGGGTTTAGGGTTTAGGGTCTATACGCCAAAATACTAAAGGGGCCTGAATCATTAGAAAAGTGGTTTCGGGCCCCTTTATAGTATCCTGATAATAAGCAAACCCTATGGAATAATACTGGTAATTATTTAGGCCCCTACGTTTTCTAAACCCCAACACCCAAAACCGAACCCCTAAACCCCAACACCCAAAACCCTAAACCCCAAAACCCTGAACCCCAAAACCCAAAACCCCTAAACCCAAAACCCTAAACGCCAAAACGGGAAACCCTAAACCCTAAACCCTAGACCCCAAAACCCTAAACCCAAAAACCCCAAAACCCAAAACCCCAAAACCCAAAACACTAGACCCCAAAACCCTAAACCCTAGACCCCAAAAATCCTAAACCCCAAACCCTCCTCGAAGCCAGTCTCGTTGTACTCCAAGGCCAGGAGCGCCACGCAGCCGCCGAAGCACCCCTGGTTTGGGTCACAAGAAGGCATACAAAATGCAGTTTCGAATCCAATTCACTGTAGGTTTTAGGGTTCAGGGTTTAGCTTCTCGTGCTTTGGGCCGCAACACCATTTCTTTTGTGGCCACGCAGCGATGGAGCACGGACTCTGCAGTTGCAAAACATCAGCAGAGGCTATTTGCAGCTACCCACGGTCTCATGCCTCAGGAAGGGTGTAGACGGCACATGTGGCCTTTGCCTTGCTGAGCTCAGCACGGTCTTCAGCGCAAGCAACGGCCCTGCCTCGAAAAAAGACGCATCTCAACTACAAGTATAATAGTAATAGTAGTAGTAGTAGTAGTAGTAGTAGTAGTAGTAGTAGTATTAGTAGTAGTAGTAGTAGTAGTAATAATAATAGTAAAATGTACTAGTAGTGGTAGTGGTAGTGGTAGTGGCAGTGGC